TGGGAGGTGAGTAATTGGCGAATGACATTTGACATATTAGGGATATTGTTACCTATGTCACTGGAATCACGCAATATCCACATTATCGTTTTGTGGAGAGTGCTTAAGCATAAAGATTATAATTATTTATGCTCAAGAATCACAATTATCCACTATACTAAAAAAAAATCATATGTAATTGTAATGAGATTACCTTATATTGATCGACATTTTCCATAAAAAAAAAATCTTGTAATTGTATGAGATTACCTTAATGTCGACGATTTTATTCTAGTATTTTAAACCCCGCAATTGTTTGTATTAATGGTTACTTTCTATTTATCCGCAGTTGATGGTGCTCTTCGATTTCATAGGATGCCTCAAAGATGAGTGTGAAGACGCAACCGATCCTGAAGCTGAAGAAGTATAACAAAGGACACGGAAAATGAAAGCAACACACCGGAAATCCTATCGACTTGTTATCCAATCCTTTTTTTCGCTCCTCTCAAATTGATATTTGAATTTGGAAATGCCGATTCGATTCAGAAAGTTTCGAATCCAAACCCCAATCTCAAATCCACCTTTATTTTCAACATCTGTTCCTAATAAATCCTCAGCAATCAGTTGATTATCTCTAACCTGATTTTTGTAATGAAAAATGTAAAATGGGTGTACTATGACGATGAAATATATTCAGGAAACCACCTGTTGCTGACAGATTTTACAGATCTGACAGTCATGGCAGAAATGGTCGCCGTTTAAATCAATCATTCTCCTGATAGACATGAATAAAGAGACATTGTTTAAATCGGTGTCTCTAAATTTTCCTTAATAACAATCCTAGACTAAGCGACTGAGGTACGACTCCGTCCTCATTTCACCCTAAGCCTCATAATATTTTTGTCCTGCCCAAAGAATACGTCTTTAAACCAAAGAATGCCTGTGGGAAGTTAGAATGACTGAACGATGAAAGAGTCTTTTGAGGGTGGCTTAATGCAAGACAGATTGAACCGTATTCATGTTGACAAATGTGGAAAGGTATAAATGAGAACGAATATCTTCACAATACAAGAATGTATTTCTGACGAAGATATAATCGAAACCGGTAAAAATACATCTCTTGTATTGTGAAGATACTCGTTCTCATTCATACCTTCCCACACGACAGGTTATAGTAGTTATGAGGATGAACATCAACACAAAAAGGGAAAAAGTTTAACTTCTAATTTTTTGACACCAGCAGGCACATTTCTATGTATAATGTAACCTCTGCTTTCATATATCATGAATGTATTATCAACATATGAATGCATTATACATTTATATAATCTGAAGATAAACCAGTAATGTGCATAAGTGGTAATTTTGATAAAATTCTGTTTCATTAAATTTCTTTTTTCTACATCCACCAACGGAGAATTATATTTTAGGCAATATTTACTGGTTTCTTTGTTAGTTTCTCAAAAATAGTTTGACCGATTATAATAAAAAATAGGGGTCGTCCGCTCTTGATCCAAGGTCTGTCGTTTAGATTCGGGTGTGCAACCAAATCCACGTACAGATTTGCAATGAAATTTCTATTCAGCACCAAAGTGGTCCTTTCTTTAATTTTCTGTGAATAAGCATTTTTTCAAGCAGTCATTTTAAATAGATACATGATTGCGAATACTGACTAAGATTTATCGTACATACATCAATCCATTAAATCGAAGCAAAGTACAAGACATTCCTGAGATAAGTTCTTGCCAGAAATCGCGCATAAACAACAATTTACCCAGAAGAGTGTCTCGGGATTACACAGAACGGCAATACTGATTGGAAACCAAAGGAAATAGATGCGGAAAATTTACCAGCTTTCACAATGAGGCGACATGTCTCTAGCACTTAGAATACTTAACATAGCCATTGTCATACGTTTATATTATATAGATATACATATAGATATATATATATTGTACACACACATACAAATACACACACATATATATATGTATATGTATGTATGTATGTATATGCACTAAAAATTAATTTCAAATCATCCGGTGCAAATTAATTTTCTACGGACAGTCAGACTATATCGTGTGGTATGTCTCTGCAATTGCAATTATTTCGAGATGCACCGAGATAACTCCACAATGTGATTTTTTTTTTTTCTTTTTTTCTTTTTTATATAATTCGCATTTTTTTTTTTAACTAATGATCTGATCTGAAAGATTTCAAGAACACACTAAGGGAAACACACATATAAATATATTTATATATAGATATATGTATGTATATATATATCGAAATATAAAACCTGATTTTTATCAGGTAGGAGAGAAACAAAATACCTTTATCAATTTCCCATTTCACGAAAATTTTTCACTGCTACTATATATAGTTCCTAATTTTCAGGATCAGCTAAACTCCACAGATTGATATTCTTTTTGTGCATGTACATATGTGTGGGCGTGTATGTGTGCCTCACTTGTTTGCATCTACCTATCTACATATGTATACAATCCTTTATCATTATTCCCAGGAGCCATTTACAGTGACCTGGATAAAAAGAAGTATTTAAAGATTTGAAGCCAGTACGTACCCCTAAACTGATGCAATGCATTATCCTCACACCATGTTCCATGTACATAAGAGTGCATGCTCGCAAGTATTAGATACACGTTGATTTACAAGTACGTGTGTGTGTGTGTGTGTGTGTGTGTGTGTGTGTGTGTGTGTGTGTGTGTGTGTGTGTGTGTGTGTGTGTGTGTATTCATACAGTAAAAAGGCGGAGAGATTAAGTGCGAGAGTTCGTATGTGCACTGTTTCTGCATGTTGCTGTGCACACTACTATATTTCTACACATGTATAGATTGATATTTCTTCAGCGCAAATAACAAATGAATTCTTATAAAAATCTAAATGCTTCAGTTCTATTGACGTCACCACAAACTAGCCTGTATTGTCCCATCCGTGACAACTGAGTCACCATGACACAGCTGCAAAGACGCCGCTGCCTGCTATATAACAGCCGACTCAACATCCAGTCACCACACGACTTCACACCCTGTAGAAGTTTGTCACTTGGTTGTGAGTATCCGCTGTATATGTATGTATATTATTATGCATATTATATATATATATATATATATATATATATATATATATATATATATATATATATATATATATATATATATATATATATATATGAGTGTGTATATGTGTATTTATAGTCAACCTATGATATTTATGTATATATATGCAAATATATACATACATATTGGTTATATAAGCTAGCGTACATTTATAGATAGATAGTCCTGCGTGTCTATGTGTATACATGTACATATATATATTTTCTGTAAGGAAATACGTACATCATTTATATATATGATTATATATATATATATATATATATATATATATATATATATATATATATGTATATATAATATATATGTATGTATATGTATATATATATATATATATATATATATATATATATATATATATCATGTATTTGTAATATATATTTTACATGTATTTCTGATATATATCCGACAATTAGCTATGCGTAGATAGGTAATTATATATATGTATATATGTATGTATGTATATTTATATATATGTATATACATGTATGTATATGTATATATATGTATATATATATTGTATGTATATATGTGTGTACATATACTATATATATATATATATATATATATATATATATATATATATATATGTGTGTGTGTGTGTGTGTGTGTGTGTGTGTGTGTGTGTGTGTGTGTGTGTGTGTGTGTGTGTGTGTGTGTGTGTGTGTGTGTGTGTGTGTGTGATGATATATAGATATATATATGTATGTACATGTATGGGTGTGTATATGTATTTGATATCTATATGTATGTATTATTCACGTATGTGTAATTAAGTGATTATAAACACAAACACATACATAAACGCATGTATATGTATATCTATATATGTCTGACGGTTTATATATACATATATATATAAATACATATTCATATAAATATATGTATATATATATCATTCACGTTCTATGAAAAAGGGTAATTACACAATCTCACATATACACATATATTATGTGCACATCCATATCGTGTATACTTATTTATGCAAATGTTTTTACTATTTATGGTATAAGTAGATATATGGAAAGGAAACACAAATTATATCTAAAAATACTCTTCCAGTACTAACATCATCATCATGAAGCTGTTGATGCTGCTGGCGCTCGCCACCGCCATGGTGGCCGTTCAGGCTTCCAGGGAGAGGGGTAAGTTCCCGAGAGGTTTTCCTGATTCCAGACATAACACTTATTGCTATAAAGTTTAGACGAATATGGCGAAGGCATTTCAAAGACGTTTCATGGAATTTATCCAAAATCCATGATTCTTAGTTCAGTCTATATTCATGCATGTGCAAAGAAAGCTGAACGTCCGCTTAGCATGAGAATGAGAGCCACAGCATATCAGACACAGAGGTAAATCGCCTCTCCACGTATCCGAATATGCAACAGAATCTCTGAACTGGTCAGACATTTGCTAAGGACGAAGCCACGCACCCGAAGATACTGGTATTTTCAATTTTATTTTATCCCATGAAGTTATTGTTTTTATATGGTAGGGTAATTCCTACATATAGCTTTTCTGTGCAGAATTAGGTGTTTCCCTTTTTAAATTACCTAATAATGAAATGTATCCTTCAAGTATATACTTTGTTAACTACACGTTAATTGTCAGACGCGTAAGTAGCGTTATAACTCATACTATCTAGCATCACATGAAGATTACATTACTTAGTAAGCAGCGAAAAGATATAATATACTGACATCCTGGACTAACATGTGAATAGAAGAGAACCTATGGAACAGTTTCTTTTGCAAAATATTTTCATACAAACTAAACTTGAATCACCCTCTTGAACAGGTGAATGCCACGAAGTGATGCACGATGTGATGCACAAGGAAAACATGAAGGAAATCATGGGAACTTGTATGGAGGAAAATGGAATCG